ACTTAATTCCAGGGGTCCGTTTTGCCAGCGTCACCTGTCGTGAGTGGCGCTGAACGAGTTCATTTTTGTGGTTCTTGTGGAATGGGGAGTCATGCGCTTTGATTTCAGACCTCATCTAAGTTCCCCGTGTGAGAGGTCATCTCACGTGATGATAATAAGAACACACTTTGTCTTCATACATAACATTATGTAGATTACAAAGTATTTTTACATACATAATTTGCATTTTGAAAGCATTCCTGTGAAGTCAGTTGCTGGTCTGGTCTCATGTTTGGGAAATGGAGTCATTGTAAGACAGGAAGCCTGGAGTAAGGAGACGATACTGGGGCCTTGCAATCTTAGACTCGTGTGCAGACTAGACTCTTTGAGAATGATGGACCTGTGTACAGTGTTCTTTAAGAATGACTGGTTTGGTTTTCAGGATTTATATATGCGTGCGTGTGTGTGTGTGTATAAATACACTCATGTATATGCACACATACAAAATATATAAATATATTTTTATACATAATATATGTAAAATGTGTTCCTGTGGTTTTTGTTTGTTTGTAGTAGTTGTTTTTTAGGTGATAGAAAAGTTGAGACCATGAGTCTTATAATGAATGCCTGGTGCTCCTTGTCTGTTGAGCATCTAACCTGAACCAAGTTTGTTTCCTCCATTCCATGCCCACTTTGTGAGATGCTGAGGTGAGGGTTCAGAGGATCTAGTGGGAATTGTTGGTCAGCCTTCGAGCATTTGCCAGGAAGCTCCTTCCTTGGGAGCTGGTTACCTCCTGCTCTCTGGAGGGGGCAGAGGGGAAGTGATGAATCCAGTGGTTCCAGGCATCTGCAGGCCTGGGATGGAGCCTGGACCTCCGAGTCCTCTCCTAGCCTAGCCAGCAGCCCTTCTGTGTACCCAGACTTACCCACTCCCCTCTTTTGCAACAGACCCAGGGGCAGCCATGTGGGTTGGGCCCTGAATGGAGATCATTTGTGGAGTGAATGGGCTCTGAACTGTCCTGAGACTGTCTCTAGAGCCATAATAAGCTGGAAACCATGTCTATGTAGATATTTCCCTGTGTAGTTTGCAGCAACCGCGTGACATGCACTTTGGGGTAAATAACTTTAAAAGCATAAGTCATACTTACAGCCTGTTCTTTCACCCCCTCCCAGCAGACCTGCTTGGGACTGAGTTTCTGCCGGCTGCTTCAGCCCCTCTCTTCTGTCTCTCCTGACCCCGCTGCTCTAGTCCTGCTCTGCCCTCTCCACTACGAACCCCCAAGTTGGCTCACTTCAGTCACATCTCGCCTGACCTGGGACCAGCACTGAACCTCGTTGACCTCTTCCTTCTGCTTGGCGTCCTTTCTTCTGGGCTCCAGCCTTTGTCTCTTCCCCTCCCTTCCCTGTTCCTATATCTCCTTGGCTGGTTCTTGCTCTTTGTCCTGATTTAGAATGTTGTTCCCAGGACTCGGTCCTTTGGTTTCGTCTCATTCTTCCTCACTTCCTTGGTGATCTGTCTAGTCTCTCCTGCCGGGTTGTATCTCCAGCTATGGGTTCAGCGCTACTCCACTTCTCCATTGAATACAGTAAGTCCCCTACATACGAACCTTCAAGTTGTGAACTTTCAAAGATGTGAATGTGCATTTGCATTATTGGAGGAGGCACTGTTAGTTTTTGAGGCACAGGACCTGAACACAGAATGAGCCATGAAGGTTGCAGCAGCCATTCAGAATGCAATTCAGTGTTACCATGTGATCTATGATGAGAAAACAAGAGTGACTACCCAGACAGCACTGGATCATTTTTCCAACAGTGTAGATAGAACTGAGTCCAGGAAGGAACCCTAACCTGTGCTATCAGCACCAGACGTGAGTGATATTGCAACTTGCCCTCCATCTTCTGTTGCTGACAATCCTTCAGCATTACCATTTCCTGCCTTCTCTCCCTCCCCCAGTCAGGAACTCTTCTTGCCTGTTCACTTGATGCCAGCCCCTGTATGCCAGCTGTTGTACTATATTGTATGACTGTATTTTCCAAGGTACTGTACTGTAAGATTAAAAATGTTTTATTTGTGTTTGCATATGTATTATTTGTGTGAAAAGTATTATAAACCTAGTACAGTACAGCTATACAGCCAATTGTGTTAGCTGGGTACCTAGGCTAACTTTCTTGGGCTTACAAGCAAATTGGACTTAACGAATGTGCTTTTGGAACAGAACTCATTCATATGTAGGGGACTTACTGTATATCCCAAAGAATCTCACCTCCAGATTGTCTCTCCAGATCTGTGTCGCCAGCAGCCTTAATTTTTCCAGCTGCTTTGGACACAGGTTTCCCCTTACCTCCCACTTTCTCTGCTGTCTCCTCTGTCTTCTTCCCAGCTCTCTGAGCACCTCAACCTGTGTGTCTCGTTGACTCTGCACCCCAGGTGCCTTTCTGTGTCCTGCAGGGTTCCCTGCTGCTCCCACTCTGCTGCTCTGTTTGCCCCTTCTCCTTGCTCCCCTGCACGTCTTCTGCTTCCTCCTGAGTGCGTGTCAGGTCCTGCTGTTGCACTCAGCTCTCGGGCACATGTCACCGGCTCTACCTTGGCAACTTCAATGGAATCTCTCTCTGCGTGCTTATGGGGACCATTCATTTGCTTTTCAGAAAACCCAATTTTTAGGCTGGGAAGGGCAGCCTTAGGCAGTGACACTGCAACACTTCCTTTACCCAGGGAACAGAAGAGATGAGCCATCGCATCCTCTCTGACATATCCTGTAACCACATCCATGACAACCTTGATCTCTGTGGCCTTTCCAACTGCTACCACTAGCCATGCTCATGGTTTCAGCAGTTCAGTTGCCGCCAGCCCTGGGGGACCGACTAATTCGTGGAGTGATCTGCATCACAGCAGAGTAATCCATTTATCTCTAGAGTTTAAACTTTATTTTCCCAAATTGCGAAGTTGCTTGGTTGAATACACCTATAAAAATAGGGGTGGGGGAAGAGTGTATATAGGGTTTTAAAAGTCCTTGATACTGTAGGTGGAATTTCCCAGATATTTTTAACTCCTCTGCTGTGATGTCAGCAAAGCCACTCCCCAGGCTATAGTAATTTTTTTTTTCTTCTTAAGACTTGCTTGCTCTGTCACCCAGTTGGGAGTGCAGTGTTACGATCACAGCTCACTACAACCTTGACCTCCTGGGCTCAGGTGATCTTCTCACCTCAGCCTCCTAATTAGCTGGGACTATAAGCATGCACCACCATACCTGGCTAACTTTTTTTACTTTTTGTAGAGACAAGTCTTGTTATGTTGTTCAGGCTGGTCTCAAACTCTTGGGCACAAGTGATCCTCCCATCTCGGCCTCTCAAAGTACTGGGATTACAGACATGAGCCACGACAACTGGCCAGGCTGTAGTAAGTTAACTCAGTTTGGGGTAGACTCCCAGTGAACACTTCTGTTTGTTGAGGAGTGTATCTTGACATTTCTCAAATAGGAAATAACTTTCACAGATCAAATTCATGCAAATACAAGTGGGATTTATAGTTGGACAGCCTGAAAGGTTGCTGCACGAGACTATGTGTAATAAATCCTGCCCACGAACACCGGAGCATCTCTTGAAAAACATCTCCTGTATCCAAGTGACCAAGTCACCTGTTTTCTGGAAGCCAGCAGTCAAGCATACCTAGAAGCCAAGGCTGTGAGGACCCGCTCCACCATCTGGGCTGGGCAGCCTGTTGTCTCGCTGTCTTTGTCTGTCTCTTGCCTTCTAGCCTTGCCTTCTTCAGTGGGAAGAGGCATAAAGGGCACTGGGTTTAGGCTTACTGCCTGTCGCTTCTCTTAGAAAGACGAGGAAGAGTGTGAGCTTGAAAAGCCAAAGATTTACATTATCTCTGCTGCTTTAAGATTCAGTTAGCTACCAACCATAAAAGGCCTTGTTTTGTTTGCTAGGATGATACTCAACTGGTTAAGATAAAATTGGTTCTTCAGGCACAAGGGAAAAAGCATTTGCGATACAGGTTTCTTTCTGTCTCTGTCTTGTGCCCAAGGAATATATATGTGATAGGATCTGGCCTGGTTTTGGGTAGTCGGGGGCAGATAAGTTTCTGGCCAAGTTAGAGTCAGTATTGGAAATAAACCTTGAGCCACCAACCCAAAGGAAATGCACTGGCTTGTTGGACTTACAGTTTCAAAAGAGAGAACGAATTCAAACTTCACCTAAACCTGTATCTTTTCTAAAATCATTGAACTGGAGAAGCAGCAAAATAGCCCAAGAGTTTGACTGAACCAAACCAGAATTAGGGTCCCATGTTAAGGCGCGGGGCATGCTTGGTGCTGGAGGTCGACGACTCTGGCCTCCTCAGTGGTAGCTGTGCCTTGGCCTAGTGTTTATTGCCCTGTAGGATCCTATTTTATGAATTCTGCAAGCCTGATATTACTATAGCTGCTGTATTTGTGAAGAAATTGAGTCACAGATTGACCGAAGTGACTTGCTCAGATTGACACAGGCTCCTAGTGATGGAGCTGGGCTGGGAAGCCAAGTCTCCTGATAGGTGGAGAGTGGAGCTTTTGCACGATGAGCGGCACCTGAGAGGCATCCCTGATTCTTCCCTGTCCTTAGGACTTGAAGGGACCCAGGACACTGAGGCTAATGACAGAAGTGAGAGCCCTGGGCACCCAAGACTCTTTGCCTCTTGCCTTGAGGACATTAACCTGGAACATTCCCCTCCCAAGGACCCCCTTTGGGGAGGTCCCAAGCAGGGAGGACTGACTATTCAGAGGGAGGCTTGGTGACTATCCATAGCTTGCAAGGGGTTTTACTTATCACTCTATGGTAAAAGTCCTCAGACTATATGTGCTGTCATCTTTAAATTTTTCAAAACTGATTTTTAAAACTTGTTTTGTAGCTAAAATATTCAATTGCTGCTTTATTCTCCTTTTATTTTAAAAGTTGATTTGAAAGTTCAGTGTTGTTGTTTTTTTCCTCAAGACAAATAATTACTGTGGACATCAGGGGTTTTTTTTGTGTGTGTTTTCCAGACATTTTAAGTGAGATCCTTCAGATCATCTAGGAAAATGGTGGCCCTTTCCTTAAAGATCTGTGTCCGCCACTGCAATGTGGTGAAGACCATGCAGTTTGAACCATCCACAGCCGTGTATGACGCATGTAGAGTCATTCGGGAACGGGTGCCGGAGGCACAGACTGGGCAAGGTAAGTCCTAGTTCTTTACTGGTTCCTTAAAATGTGTGTCTATGTGTTCTTTACTTTGTAGCTAAAAGACACAAAGGCTCTGAGTGGTATCCAAGCCTACTAGCATGTATGTTTAAATGAAACTTCATCTTTGCCCAGACACTGCCTGCTTCCTCTGGGAGACTTGTGATGACAGCGACCATATCTCCGGCTGAGCCATCATCATTGTGTCCGGCATTTTGATCTTCTCTTGTATCAACATGGCAGTTTGCAAATGTTTCATCTTTGATGTATCATCTCATTGTCCTAATAAAATGCAAATGAAGCTGCTCTAACAATTGTTGGTGATGTTTCCCATGCATGAACACTTTCTACTGCCATCAGGGACACAGGACAAGTCTCATATTTCAAGTCTTTTGAACGGGCTTTATAAATTTTATGTCAAATCTTTAAAAAAAAAAAAAAAAAAGGGCATTTGTGATATATAAGGGACAGCCCCCCAAAAAACTGGAATTTTTTTTTGGAGGGAGGGCCCCTTGTAATACAAGCTTCCTCCACTAAGTAAGTGTTCTAGGATCCCACTGGCACCAGTGTACTAGGTGGCGTTGTGAGAGGCTGTGTTCAGCTTCGGTGAATTTTCTTGTGAAGACTCTTTCAACATGTTTGCCCACTTCCTGAGTGGACTTGCCTACACTGTGCTGACCAAAAAATGGCCTGACCCCATGCCCCACCCTCTCTCTTCACCTGATCTTTCCCCAAGTGACTTTTTTCATTTCCCTGGATGAAAAAATGTCCTCAAAGGGAGCAATCTTGCCAACGTGGAAGAGGTGAAACAAACAAACAAAAAAACAGCCAAAACACTGAAAGACATCCAAATTGACAAGTTCAAAATCTGCTTTGAGCAGTGGAAAAAGCATCTTGATAGGTGTATTGCATCAAACGAAGAGTACTTTGAAGTTGGCTGAAGTCAAAACATGTAAGAATAGATACACAATTTTTTATAAATAAATTCCGGGGGGGGTTTCTTTGTCCCTTCCCCCTCATATGTTTTGCTTGATATTTGGTTAAACCACTGACCCTGTTAATCTGAGTTTAAATAGAAGCCATTTATGCAATTTTATTTTCCCTTTTCTTTTGTCTTCTTTCTACATGTCCTTTTGGCATTTACTTGACTGACAATTGAGAAATTGAAATCACTCCCAAGTGGGTAAGCCTTTAGTGTGAAAGTAGGATAAAACATATCTTAAAAACCGGAAGAATTAAAAGCAAACATACGTCAAGGATAATTATAACTAGGAATGGGTTTTCTTTTTTTTTTTTTTTTTTAGTTAGAGTCTCACTCACTGGAGTGCAGTGGCACGCTTATGGCCACCGTAGCCTCTACCTGCTGGATTCAGGCGATCCTTCTGCCTCAGCCTTCCAAGTAGCTAGAACCACAGGCATGCACCACCATGCCCAGCTAATTTTGTTTTATTGTAGAGACGAGGTCTCGCCAAGTTGCCCAGGCTGGTCTCAAACTTGGAGGCTCAGGCAGTCCTCTCACTTCTGCCTCCCAAAGTGCTGGGATTATAGAAAAGAAAGAAACATGAACCTTGTTTTGTGGGTGTTGCTTCTACGACTCAACTCTGACTCCTCCACATCTTCTCAGTCCTGGCGGCTGCTTGTGTTGTCAAAATGAAACACTGCGCTCTGGTGAAGGAGCTAGCACCCATATCCCTGCCGACTCAGCAGGCTCAGGGCCTGGAAGTCAGTGATGGCTTTCTCACCGCTTTGTCTTCTATTTTTCTTTCTGTTTGTGTTTCAGCTTCTGACTATGGGCTGTTTCTGTCGGACGAAGACCCCAGGAAAGGGATCTGGCTGGAGGCAGGCAGGACACTGGATTACTACATGCTGCGGAATGGGGTATGCGGCTGAGTTTGTTGGGTTTTTATTGCTCCTCCCTTGGCCTTCCACAGATGCCAGCCCTGTTATGCTATTTTGATTCAAGGGCAGCTTATTAATAGTTTTGATGTAATGGATTTTGTAAGGTCTGTCCAGGTGGTAACAGAAAACGCCAACCATCCAAATTCTCAAGATTCCCCAGAGGGGTGGAGGTGGTTTGGGGTTATATTTTAAGCAGTTTCTACATGTCACTGTTGGCCTTGGTGGTTGTGAGATGAGCTGCAGCATCTCACTGCAAGTCTGTAGGAGGCATCCCTGTGCCCAGTGAGGGGAAGTAAGGATGGATAAGAAGGAACACGAAATGCAGTCCCACAGGCAGTCAGAGACTGAATATTGATCAGTGTTTTCTTTTACACAGGAAACCTCAGATTAGAGGTGTGAGTTTAATAACAATCAGTAATAGTAACAACAACAAAAATGGTTGTTATGGAAGTGGGGAGAGGCAATGGAGTCAAAACATGTTAAGCGCTTTGCTTAGCCTAACCTCCAGCATCTGGGTTTTGGTATATAGGATAGAGTGAAGTTGTCGGGTGGGTCAGCATCCCATGACATGAGAGTGAAATATGTGATGCCAATTAATTTCTCCCTCCAGAGTTCTATTGTTAGGATATGTAGGAAACAAGAAGTCTCCCATTTAAAAATAACTCCCAAGCCGGGCTTGGTGGCTCAGCCTGTAATCCCGCGCCTTTGGGAGGCTGAGGTGAGTGGATTTCCTGAGCCCGCAGGTTCGAGACCCGCCTGGGCAGTGAGACCTCATCTCTACAATAAACCAAAAAATCAGCCGGGCGCATGCCTGTAATTCCGGCTACTCGGAAGGCTGAGGCGGAAGGATCGCCGGAGCCCAGCAGGCGAGGCTGCGGTGGCCGGGAGTGGCCACTGCACTCCAGTCTGGGTGACAGAGTGAGACTCCAACTCAAAAATAAAATAAAATAAAATAAAAATAACTCCCAAATGTGTTTTTCCTGTTTGATCTTGCCATTATTATATTTCACTGCACTCTTGTGAAAACCACTGCTGCTGTGATGTCCCACTGCTGTGAAGATTTGTGGGAATATTATTTATGGATCTCATTATTTTCATAATAAATATAGTAAAAAAGTTTTAATTAAGAAAATAAATCTTCTATATATATGATATGATAAAAATTGCTTCTGGCAATGTAAAAGATAATTGAAGACGCACACTGCTGACTTTTTAAAAGGCGAGTAGTCATTTTCCTCTACTAATTCTCATTAGAGCATATCATTTCTAGTCTTTCAAGAGGACAGGTGCCACTTTCATTTCACAGAGGGTAGTTTACAGTAAGTGTGCACTTATAAGTATTACTTCTTTAGTTGCAATTTTATAATCATATCTTAAGGACATCTTTACGAGAGCAATTATGTAGCACTGGAGATTCTGTATTATAGTAGCAGTCACAACCCCATGAAAATTTAGGAAAGCTTTCAAAGACATGTTGGAAGCAAGAGGAAAACAGCATCTGCTAGGAGAAGTCCATTTTTTTAAAGAAAAGTGTGCAAGTTTGTTATCTGTTTTCCCACTAAGTATAAGTGTGAAATGTATGCGTGTTCTGTGCTATAGGACATTTTGGAATATAAAAAAAAACAGAGACCTCAGAAAATCCGGATGCTGGATGGATCAGTGAAAACAGTGATGGTGGATGATTCCAAGACCGTGGGGGAGCTACTGGTTACGATTTGTAGCAGGATAGGTGAGCTTTCACCACCTCTCTGCTTTGTTTTCTGCTTTGTTTTAACTTACGCTTATCTTCTCTTTTCCACCTCCCATTTGGTGTATAGGCCATTTCGAATGTGTCTTAACATGTCAAGTTCTGTCCAACCCCAAGAGTACATGTTCATTCTCCTAATTGGCCAATCCACTAAGCACTTGGACTTCTCACTGAGTCACAACTGAGTTTTCATTTCCCTTTCTGAAACGAGGGAATTTTCAATGGAAAGGAATGTTTTGAAATTTTGTCTCCCACTCATTACTGCATTCTGTGTAAGCATTATTGATGCTCACAATCTCCTTGAACACTTCTGGTGACAACCTATGTGATTGATTCTTTTTTTTTTTTAAGTTGGAGTCTCACTCTGTCACCCAGGCTGTAGTGTAGTGGCACGCTCAAGACCACCGCACTCTCGACCTGCTATTTATTGTAGAGATGAGGTTTCACCAAGTTGCCCAGGCTGATCTCGAACCTGTGGGATCAGGCAACCTTCTCACTTCCCAAAGTGTCGGGATTCTAAGTGTGAGCCACTGCTCCTGGCTATGATTGATTCTTAGACAGCCTTTTTCTTGTAGCTTCTTTTAGTCTTCCCCAGAAAGCAAATCTGCCTCCTTCTTACAAATATTTGAAGATAGTAGATATGCCTATCTGAGTTTTCTCTTCATGCAACAGAAGCCCAGTTCCTTCAGACACTTCTTGCTTGACATTGTCTTGCTTTTCTCCACATGATCTCTACTTTGTCATTATTTCTAAAAAATTAGACAAGAGAGTTGAACATGACATTTTGAATGTGACTTAACTAGCTGAAGACCCTTTATTTTGTTTGATGTGGCTGCCTCCTTGGCCCTCACGTCTTAGTAAGGCCTTTTTCTGTTCTTTGCCACCAGGGATTCCTTGGAATATCACAGGCCATAGGCTGAAAGGTTGTTAACAGCAGTTTAATCGTTTACAATTATAACCTAATTTCTATCACTAGGAATAACGAATTATGAAGAATATTCTTTAATCCAAGAAACTATTGAAGAAAAGAAAGAGGAAGGGACAGGTACACTCAAAAAAGACAGGACACTGTTACGAGACGAGAGGAAAATGGAGAAGTTGAAGGCCAAGCTTCACACAGATGATGATCGTAAGTATTTGAGAAGGAAGCAACATGCAGACACATGGGCTTCGCTGGGCCACTCTTGCCCGCCAGCGTGCATGTGGCCCATATTTTTGCTTTTTGTGTTTTTAAATCTGTAAATAAAAGTAACTATACTACCGCATCACATTTAGAGAAATCTCTTAATATCAAATCGCAAATTATGTTCACATTTTCTCCATAATCTTCTAAAAATTGTTTAGTAGTTTGAACTGAGATCCAAATAAAGTTGGAAGATATGTCAGGTAGCTCTTTTAACTAAGTAGATTCCTTCTTTATTTCTTTTTTTAAATTGACGGATAATAGTCATGTATATATATGGGGCACAGTGTGATGTTTTGATCTATGTCTACATTGTAGAAAGAATCAGTCAAGCTAATTAACATATGCGTCACCTCCCAACACTTTTTTTGTGTGTGAGAATGTTAAAATTTATTCTTCTAGCAATTTTGAAATATTAAAATTAACTATGGTCACCACGCAGTACCATATCTTTTGCTTGTTCCTTGCTATTTTTTTTAAGTGTTAAAGAAACCAGATTGTTTGTTGTATAGCATTTCCTACATTTGGATTTATTGCCCTCCTGTGGCATTATTTAACATGTTTCTCTGTCCCTTTTAATTCTTTTGAGCTGAAGACTTGATTAGATGTGTGAGAGAGAGGATGTGTGTTTGTGTTTTAATGAAGACACTTTCTACGGTGGTAATGTATACTTCCATCAGGCAGCTGTTTCTGGTTGTCTTGCAGGGAGGGGTATTAACTTCCATTGATGACCATTACCTATCCTAATTATTTCCTTAGGAGTTAAAAATAGTAATTTAATTTCTTTTCTTTTTCTTTTTTGAGTTGAAGTCTCTAATGCCTAGACCGGAGGGCAGTATCATGCTCACAGCCACCACAGCGTCGACCTGCTGAGCTCAGGCAATCCTTCCACCTCAGCCTTCCAAGTAGCTGGAACTACAGGCATGCACCACCATGCCCAGCTAATTTTTTGATTTATTGTAGAGATGAAGTCTCGCCAAGTTGCCCAGGCTAGTCTCGAACCCGTGAGCTCAGGCAATCCTCTCACCTCGGCCTCCCAAAGTGCTGGGATTATAGGCATGAACCACTGTGCTCGGCGTAATTTATGTATTTATTTTAATTTTTTTGAGTTGGAGTCTCACTCTGTCGCCCAGACTGGAGTGGAGTGGCATGCTCCCAACCACTGCAGCCACCACCTACTGGGCTCTGGCGATCTTTCCACCTCAGCCTTCCAAGTAGCTGGAACTACAGGCGCGCGATAATTTAATTTTTATTGTAGCAAAGTCATTTTCTATAGTTACACAGTTAATACATGGAAAAGCCAGCACTTAACCCCATGTACCCTCAAAACCCATGCTGTGTGTCCCTTACTGCCCAACCTTACTCTGAGAGGGTCTTACTCATTACATGGTCCACCTAGACTTCCCAGGCTCTTTCTTTCATTGTTCTTTCTTGCTGCTGCGTTGGGATGAGGTTTTCACTGACATTGTGTTGTGCCATTTATTGATCTTCAGTGGGGCTGTCATTTCCTCTAACCCTTTCTCTCTTTTTTTTCTTTCTACTCATTTGATTTCCAGTTACATACTTCTTTTTAAGAGACTTGAGTAGGCAAATCCCAGGGATGTATTATTATGTGCTGGATACTTTTCAGGTACTGGGGGAGGCACATTTGCTATGCTCACATTACTTATAACTTAGAGAAGCTGGTAATAAATACCTACCCACAACCTGTGTGTTAAACCCAAAACTGTGAGAAAGTGGAAAGGGAAGTGACTGACTCCTTTGCGCCTACATGTAAGGCCACGGTTCCCAGAATGGCTAAGTTTCAAGCTGGACCATGGTGGGATTCTGCCAGCTCCCCTACTTCATGTTCTGTCTCCCCCACCCCCTTCATACTTTCATTTTTCTTCCTCTTTACTACTTGGGGGTCAGAGGTAAATTTTTGCGCTTTACTTGCTGAGACTGAAATATCTGCTCTGGATTTAAGGGGAAACCCGAACTTGGTTTCTTAGCACAAAATACTGATTTCCTTATTTCTTCTCCCTCCCTCATATTTTACGTTTATTGTAGTACTTTATGCTTTAGCTGACTTTCGGAATAGCTGAGGATTTTCTCCCTCATTTTCATTCTGGTTAGTCATATGGTAGATGTTAAATTATTTTGCAAAGTTAAAAAGCACAGTTCTAATACATGAAGTAACTATAAATATCAGAGTTATAGAAATCTGCATCTGTGTCACACTGCTGTTGTGGTAAATCCCCTTTAATTAAGAGGAAAAATAAACATAGCTCTTTTATATTTCTCATTGTATTGCAGTAAATTGGCTGGATCATAGCCGAACATTCAGAGAACAAGGAGTAGATGAAAATGAAACGTTGCTGCTTAGACGGAAGTTCTTTTACTCTGACCAGAATGTAGATTCCAGAGACCCCGTGCAACTGAACTTGCTTTATGTTCAGGTACAGTATTTACTGCTCAGACATTGAGTTGTTGAGATTTCAGGATGCTCCTGGCTGTGTCTTGCGGACAGCAGGAGCACGGTTCTGGCTCCTGTCACGTTGACCCACGTCTGGCCATCTACTTCATGTTCTGTCTCCCCTACCTCCTTCAGGTTGTGGTGCAGGTTGATACCACAAGCTGCTGGCCCTCTGGAGTGGAGCATGTCTGTGGCTTCCCAAATTGTGGCCTGATAACTGATACTATCCTTCTATGTGCCTGGCTTGAAAAGATGGTTGTGTTTCATCTACCTGGCCCATCATTTCAAATGCACGAAAGCTTTCTTAGCTAACGTCTTAGAATGCAAGAGAATATTGGTCAGAAAATCAGTACTTCTCATTCATTGAAAGATATCTTCTCAATAGGCTTTCATGGTTTTACCCTTAACTAATTATTTAAACTCAGACAAGTCACTTATATCTGAGTTGCAGTTTCCCAGTATGTAAGATGGTAAGATGTGGAGATGTGGGCTTTGCACTGGATTGTCCTCAAGGGATTTTTTTTTTTTTTTTGGCTCAAGAGAAACATCATCTTTCTACTGCTTTCTGCTCCCCCTCAACTTCTGTTCTTCCTTTCCTTCCCTCTTTCCCTTTTCTCTGCTCATCTTCTTCCATGTATCTTCCTGTTTGCCCATAGACATGATGCAGGTGTGACAAACTGCAGCCATGCCCTCTGCCTATATTTGCAGGTAAAACTTTATCGGTCCGGGCTCAGTGGCTCAGCCTGTAATCCCAGCACTTTGGGAGACCAAGGTGAGTGAATTGCCTGAGCCCACTGGTTTGAGACCCGCCTGGGCAACTTGGCGAGACCTCATCTCTACAATAAAACAAAAATTAGCCGGGCGGGGTAGCGCATGCCTGTAGTTCCAGCTACTTGGAAGGCTGAGGCAGAAGGATCGCCAGAGCCCAGCAGGTCGAAGCTGTGGTGGCTGGGAGCAGCCGCTGCACTCTAGTCTGGGCGACAGAGTGAGACGCCAACTCAAAAAAAAACCAAAAACCTTTATTGGAACACAGCTCATGCATTCAAGTATTGTGTATTGGTGAACCCCCTCCAGCGTTATACAATTGTTGATGTGTCTGGTCTTGAGTGCCAGGGGCAGAGTACAATAGTTGCAACAGAGACTATACAGCTCATGAGGTCTGAAAGGTCTATCATTTGACCTCTGAGGAGAAGTCTGCTGACAACAAGATGGGCAATGAGAAGGTGCTTGTTGGCTTAAGGCTCAGAATGGTAGCCAGGATTGCCCATCTTAGGATGGTCTGGGAGTCATTTAACTAGAGAAAGGAAACCAGAAGGAAGAGGGATAAATGGCAACGGTGGTGATGGATTGAGGCCTGGGAAGAGGACTTCAGACCCAACTAGCTCCATGCAAGGACTATACGTTTGCTTGTCAGTTCCCGCTAAATGTCTTGAGTATTAAATTCTTGACTCTGTGTGTGTTTGTGTGTGTGTGTGTGTGTGTGTGTGTGTGTGTGTGTGTGTGTGTGTGTGTACATGCACATATGTCTTTATCTCTCTCCTTTTATTACATTGGTCTTTATCTTGGGATGGGGCTTGGGCTGATTTTGCCTCTTGATTTATTTTTCTGTCAGATTTATGATTTAGGGTCATAAACAGTAAATTGTATTTCTCTTTTGGCCTCACTGAATGCGATCATTCCACATGATTTTCTGATTTTTCTTTGCCTTTTTTAAATAATCACTTCTGCCTTCCTAGTTCATCATCAGACTTTACTTTTGGTATCCCAGACACCTCTATTGCTTCCCATCGACGGTCCATTTTGAGCAAAGACCTGTCTCCCTTTGCCCTGATTCTGCTATGTGACAGACACCTACAGCATTCTGCAGGTGTCACTGTGGGTTGGCCAACACCTTCCCCTGCTCCACGAGAGCGTGTGATGGGGTGTGGGGATGTGTCAGTGGAGAGACTGTGTGGTCCCTCAAACCCCTGATGCTCTTCCTTCCTCTTGTGTTTTAGGCTCGGGATGACATCCTGAACGGCTCTCACCCTGTCTCCTTTGAGAAAGCTTGTGAGTTTGGTGGATTTCAAGCCCAAATACAGTTTGGACCTCATGTGGAACATAAACACAAGCCTGGATTCTTAGAGTAAATGGCCTTTTTTCTTCTCTCTCTTTTCTCTCCTTTTTTTCCTTTTACCAGTTTAATTTTGAGGTAGATACCTGAATTTCAATCAGTTGTGAGAATGTTAGCTTTTACTCAGTAGAGTGTATGGCCAGATTTGTGAACCTTGGGAAAACAAGAGAAATTCAGTAGTTTTTCTCACAATAAAAATTCAGTGATCTGGCCGAGTGCAGTGACTCACGCCTGTAATCCCAGCACATAGAAAGGCTGAGGTGAAAGGGTTGCCTGAGTCCAAGAGTTTGATACCAGCCCTTGGCCATATGGTGAGACCTTGTTTCTGTAGTCAATCAAAAAATTAGCTGAGAGTGGTAGCATGCACCTGTAGTCCCAACTACTTGGAAGGCTGAGGCAGAAGGATTGCCTGAGCCCAGCAGGTTAAAGGTGTGGTAACTGTGATCATGCCACTGCACTCCAGCGACATAGTGAGACTCCAACTTGGAAAAAAAAAAAATGAAATTCAGAGATCCATGTAAACCCCCTCCCCCTTTTCTTCCTCCTTCTGCTTTCTCTTAATATAGATGAAAGCCAAAATAAAAATCACTTAAGAGAGTCTCCTGTGGTCAACGCCATGCTGTCACCTTGAGAGCAGTTTGTAGAGGGTTTGGAAGTTGGGACATGAGGTGAATGCTGCCTGGGGGATGGGAGGTCGGAGCTTTTCTGATGTGCCAGCCTTAGATGCGTTGAGTGGGTCTTCCGTTGTACTGTGTCCAAGTGCATTGGAGGAAAGGATAACATAAAGGCTGATTTGGCTTTGACCTCTTTTTACTTTGGTGGAAAGTAACTGGGACAAGAATATGCCTTTGAGTAAGAAGAAAGCTTCACTTATCTCCTAGTGGCAGAGAATGCCTGACCAATACGTAGTTTGGTCTAAACTGAGTTGTTACCAAAAAATGAAAAACAATCCTCTACCCTTGGGTTAGTGAGTCCCGGGGAGCTTTTGCAAGGAGTGGCTGTGTCCCCTAACATGCCATAAAGTAACCATGAGTCTGAGAATGGCTCTGAGCCATTCCTGTCACTTACTTGGTTCTGTGTTCTCTGAATGAGTCATGTGGCCAAGTGTTCCTCAGGGCACGTTTCTCCCTGGCTGGTCTGGCTTCCTTCCTCAGGAGCCTGGGGAAGCTTGCCGTTCTGCGCAGACACCTGACCAAAGGCCATGTGCACACGTTCCTGGAGTAGCTTCCATATTCCCACATTCTAACGTCACAGCAGGTCCCTCAGATATGTTTGACACATCATAAACTCAGGGATGATGGCCACGGATATTGATAAATAAACACCAAGAGCTAATTAGGCCTTGGAGGAAACAACATTCTGTTGCTGTTTCTAGAGTGATTGGTGATGAATAGGAACAAATGGTGGGAAGATTGATGAACCATAATAATGGAAATAAAACCCTTACCTATTTGTAGGCTTTTGTGGCTATAGACCTATGTGACCCTGATAGCAAGAAGATGAAGATGTAGCCATTCTTTGGGTGCCTAGACTGACGATAATGCCTCCCTGATCATTTCATTAGTGCCTTTCCTTCAGAGCCTGGGCAACTCATTCTCAGGACTCCCCTGTGAATTGAGAAAGTGGCAGTTTATGTGGCAGATGTGGAAGAAGAAGCAGGGAGAAGAGGTGACTTGTTCACAGTTACTAGCGAGGCTTTCTACAACCAGCCTCCTACTTCTTACACTGGGCTCTCATTTTCAAAGGCATTTAGTAAAAGACAAAGTTGCCACTTTCACTGGTCTCCCACCATGCAGCAAAATTAGGAAGGTACTTAAAAATGTGATTACAGGGTCCTTTGGTCTAACTCCGAGTGTCATGGATTGTACCAACCAAATCAGGGTGAGTGTTACTGTACTGCTGACCACTTCTGTTGAGATGACAAACTGATATCAAAACACTGGTAGTTGGTCTTAACAGTGTGCACTGCAATTTATCGTTCTGTTAAATGCTGCATACTCACACTCCAGCAAGGATGTTCTTCTCTTACTAATCTGAGTTAAGTAGCTGTGTTAAGTAGCTGTGTTAAGTCCATCTCCCTTTTACTAAAATGAGAATATGAAACTCATGCCTCTAGTGGTATGTGTACCCTTATTCACACTCCAGATTAAAATAAGCTCTTTCTGCTTGGTGGCAATTATTTTTCCTTATAAATTTGATTTACTTTTTAATTAGACCAAGTGTGGTGTAGGTAATGAGGTGTTTTCATCTAATGCAGATATTTACTTATGTACATTATTGCTTCGACCACACAGGTAAAACTTCTTGAGGATATACATGTTCCCTCTTAATTAAAGCAAAACAGTGAGGCCGCATTTCCTGATTTGTAAGCTGCATAGTCAGGTCCTGTTTATGCCAGGGTTTTACCTGGAGGCTGGCTGGGCTCTGTTCTGCAGCCTTTATGTCTTTCCCCATCTAGCTTTCATATGTGTTCTTTGCTTGAATAATTCAGGGTTAAAAAAAAAGTAATAGTGAGGAGCTTGGACCTGTGACAGCTTGGTTGAATATATAGCCACCAGAAATTTCAGTTACATAGTTTCTGAATTGGGTGTATAAGGGTGTGTTTAACAAGTATATATCTTTTAATTTTTTGAAAATCTGCTTGTCACTTTTGCACAAAGTCAGCACAATATGACTTTTTATGAGATTCTTTTTCAGCTGTCTTCAGATTGTTCAGTGATTTCTGAATGCAGCACCACCTTCATGAAGGTACTCATTTAGAATATTGAAAATCAGAGATTAAAAGATTTCCTGAATTTTCAGAGATTGAAGGATTATTTAATATATAACATCCACACTATAGATGGGGAAAATAGGTACTAGAGAGAAAGAGAGTCGAGGCTCAGAACCATCAAGAACGGGAAGCCAGAAGAAAGCCAGAGCCCCCAGATTGAGTCTGTTGTGTGTCAACTACATGCCAGTTTTCCTCAGGTCACCTTCACAGAGTCCCAGGATAGGACATTTTATTGGTGCTTGACGTAAAAATAGCACATAATCTAATGTCAAGTATTTGCTTTATGCTCTTCTGTGTTCAGAAAATGCTTGCAAATCCAGGTTTGGGGGAGATACATACTACTTCCTTGCCATTTGTGAATTTACAGTCTGTGTGGCAAATAAACATATGAAATGATTATTATGAAGACCCAGAACTTGGCTCTGACCTTCACTGTATTTTAAACACGGGGATAGTCTGTCCAGGATGTTAAAAGTTGCAGTACAGGCCAGGAAAACTACCGCAGACTGTTCTAGAAAAGTGGAAAGAGACAATCCACTTGGGTCCCCTCCCACTCTGGGAGCTTTTCTGTCCTCTTAATAAATCCTGCTTTTTCACAAAAAAAAAAAAAAAAAAAAAAAGTGGGAAGAATGTGGTTCCAGAAGCAACCTTGGTCAAAGAAATTGACAAAATAGAAGGCAAATCCAAAGAAGAATTAAGGAGTGACTCTTACAACAACAACAAAACTTGGTAATGACTAATTCCAGGACCCTTAAAAACATCATAGAGAACTTTAAAAAGGAAGCGATCTAGGGTAGAAGCCTTCTCTAGACCTTATCATCTTAAAGAAAAAGACAAACTTTAGAACTTAAGTCAAATATTTGTGACAACATCAAAGGCAACTCTAGGTGACAGAGTGTTCACTACACAGTTCTTGAAATTTTTCATAATAAAATTTTAAATTTTTCATATTAAAATTGTGGGGAAAAATTTGTAAGTAGCCTAAGAGAATAGAATAGACTATATGTGGAAACAGTGAAAGAAACCAGACTTTACAAATTCTTTAATAAAATTTTAATTGCTGGTCAAAGCAAATAAAAAGAAATAGGTTCTATAACTTCCAAACCAGTGGGATTTCAAGAAGCAGGAAATACAGAAGCTTGACTATCACAGTAAGAGTTATGCAGGGTGGATTATGGAAACAAACAAGGAAAATTATGGTTGATAAAATGTACAACGTAAGATATTAAATACTTTTAAATATGCTAGGCATTACACCACATATAAGTAAATCAAACTCAGCAGTTAATAAATAGCAGTTAATAAACTCATTTTGGGTGGAATTTTTTTAAAGTCTGGATCTGTACTCTTTCTGGAAGACATACTTAAACTTTAAGAATAGAGAAAAGTTTAAACACATGGAAAGTGAGGCACCAGGAAATTACTAGTCAAACCAAAGCTGGAGAAGGTATATTTCATGTCACAAAAAATAGACTCTAAGGCAAACAAACATAAGTAGAGGTAAAGACAATTACTATAAGATAGAAGGACTAGTTCACTAGGATATTAAATAATTGTGAACATGTATATGCCTCTGACATTGTCTTAAATGTATATAAAGGAAAAATAAGCAATATTATAAAAATTTTGGTTAGTAATTTTAATAGCGCAATTTAGCATACCTCCCTCAGTGAATGATTAATAGAACAAGATCAAAATAGAAGAAAGAAAATATTTCAGTTAAAAGAAAATAATGAAATAGAAACCTGAGAATCAATAAAGCCAAAAGCTGGTTCTTTGAAAAAATTAATAAATATATGTGAACCTTAGGTAAGTTTGATTAAGAAAAACCAATGAAGGAAAATGCAAAAATATTATTAGTAGTGAAAATGTAGCAGAGCTACAGGTAAAGAGGTTTTTTAAAGCATAAGAGAATTCAGTGGAAACTTGAAGTCAAAAAAGTGGAAAATTTAGACAAAATGGATAATTAGAAAATCTGAATAAACTTATAATCTTGAAAGAAATTGACTTATCCGTTTAAAATACACCAGTCAAAAAAAAAATTAAAAATTAGGCCCAGGTTACTTCATAAAATAGGCAGAAGGTAAAACTCCTTGTCTTAATTTGAAACTAACAGAACTGTAATACAAAAATGAATATAAACCATAGAAAGCTTTTAAACTTATGAAGGAATATAGATGTCTTCCCCACAAAAGTTAATTCAATATTAACAAGTTCAACGTCACATATGTCTATATGT